CATAATATATTATATAAAATTAATGCATTACTATAAAAATTACGTAAATATTACATTTTTCAGTTTTCCTGATGTTACATACGGCTGTAAGTCTTCTCGATGGCTTAGTAATCACACCTCCAATGAATAAATTGGCGAAGAAAACCCTGGCCATGTCTATGCAATCAAAAAATGATCAGAGAGATGTTATAGCAGCAAGCAAAATCAGGTTACCGTGGGTATCTGCCAAAACTTACGATGTCAAAGTGCGTATATCATTTCATTCATTACACTGATCATGGAGTATTGGCAACTTACTTCACTCTTTTCCTTCAGATGAATATAAATACGAACAAGAAAAAATGAAAGGTTGATGAGGCATTCGATCCCGACTATATCTTTGGTATAGTCAGTAAGTCAGTACAGGAACTGACTGGTACTTTATTATTCATAGCACCGAGGGTATACATAGTACTAGCAGGACTGATATCAAATTTCCCTAACATTCAAAGATGATACAGAATTGCATAAGAGTGTGAAGAGATTTTAGAAGTGATTGTTGGATTAATAGAGGAATGAGCTGTAGGTAGTGATAAAACCACAAATAAGAAGAGCCGTGTAGAAGAAATAATCAACAAAAATAATAATCGTATTCATTAATCTGCAGTCATTGTCATAGTGTCACAGGCAACGTCCTGAAGATTTGTATTTATTTTTGCATGTATTAATAAAAAATTTTTCTTGGCAAAACTGTAAACAAGTTAACAAGTAGCCGAAATATCCTAAATATTTTGCTGAAAACCTTGATTTTTTTTTAGTATTTGTTCTTTATCGATACTAAATACAGAGTATAAAAATTAATTATCATTTCAATACAGGCTACGAAATCCAAAATATATTTATTAAAGCAACATATTACTGAGCTCGAGGCTGAAATTGCTGAGATTTCCGAACTTAAAAAGATGTTGAGGCTTGAAATGCAAAGCTTATAAAGCAGATGATGGAAAAGAATAACAGATGTCGAGGATACCACTTACAGAGTTGCAAAGCTGGAACAGAAACAACTGTAGCATGATAATACTCCTATCAACAACTATCTGACTTCAATTCGGGTAAAACCATTATGTAAAGGCATTGGAAGATAAGGAGATAGATGCTTTCTTAGTCAATGTAAATAAGAAAATAATTGCCGATAATGTTAGATAATGCAATAAGGAGAAGAAACTCCAGCGTGAATTAGCTGGCCAGGATGGTACCTCTGATACTGCGTACATATCAGAAACCATTAACAGGGAATAGTAAAATTGTCAATTGTATTATATTCCTTCAGAAGTATCTCATGGAATAGAGATCATCTCTCAAAAAGAAAAACCATTTACGATTCGATGCCATCACCCCAGATTGTTTCCACAAAAGATAAGACTGAATCATCTACAAAGCAATCGACACAAAGCTTGGCATCCTCAAGTATAGTAATCAAATTCGTACAAGGATTGTTGGAAGAATTTCTCTCATCGTATAGTCAACTTCTGGAACCTATAAAGTTTTCATTCTCCTAAAACCATAATCTCCAGATCAATAAGTATCATAGCAAAGCGAACGGAGATTTTATCTTGGGGTTGCTCTCCAAAAGGTTTAAAGATCGTAGAGCTTAGGTCTGAAGATAAGAAACTTGCGGATTCGAAAATTAAAAGCAAAATGAAGCATTTTAATAATATATATTCTTTCTCAATTTTTCGGCTGGATGACAGATGGACAATTTAATTGAATGCTAAAAATTACCAAATTAACATATAATTTCCGTCGTCAATTGAGTTCGAATGGTCAGAAAAGTCTGAAGTATTAGAAATGGAATAATTCGAGGGACTGAGCCGCAGTGACTATCTTGTGCACAGTCAAAGATCGAGGCTAATAATATTATCCATATGAATTTTAGGATCGGTTAATCACAATTAATTGTTTCAGTTTCAATTCTAAGATTCAATTTTTTTAACTTTAATTTAGCACAATGAACTATTAAAATGTCAAAGATTGTAAAAATTTTACGAGTTGAGTTTTTTTTTTCATTATTATCGTTCATTTCATATTATGTTTGATCATTTCTTCATTTAAACAAAATTTTATATTATATGATTTAACGAAAATTTGCCTATTTATGCAAGATTCTTGTGATGTATAATAAACAACATTCAAGGAAATATAATCAACGGAATATAAAATTTCGGGTATGTCAAGACATATATTTTATTATTGATCATAACTTTTTTTTTGAGAATGATATATTATATTTATTATTTTATTGTTTATCAGAATATTGGAATGAACTTTCCTAATAGTTGTTATCATTTTTAATTATATATATTTATTGAATAATTTTTTACATATATTATAATATACAATCAGCGAATTTGGATGGAGAGATACATGAAATACTGAATATGAACTTAGTTAATTTGAAATTAAATTTTTTACAAATTATTCATAGAAAATAACAACAAGCCATCTTTTTTAAAAATAGCAAAATCAAAAAAATATATATATATGTCTATCCTCAATATCAATCACTGTAATTCTAAAAAATATTAACGTTGTTCTGATTATTTAAATCAAGTTTCTTATTATTTAATCACTTGTAAGGTTATTATAATAAATAGCGAAAGAACATTTAAATCAAACTTTTAATTAAAATTATAAGTTTTTAAAATAATTTTGTAACTTTTTATATTGTATAGCACTGCTTTAGAATCGTTATATTGAGGAAAATTGAAATCGATTATTTTAATAACTAGTAAATATTTTTATACTATTATTTTATTAATAAAAAAATTTGACATTGACTAAATTGTGCAAAATTGATATTATAACTTTTATTAGATGCTCTAAATAAATATTAAATATTAAAATAAATATAAAACATATTTCTAGCATTCGTGATTGATGGATTAAAAGCTTTACAATTAAAATAGATCAAATTATTTATAAAAAAAAATAGCCGATAAAATTATTGAGGTCGATAAATCCAATGTCTATTATAGATCTATTGAATTTATCCAATATAAGTAGAAGGAATTGGAATTAGAAGAATCATTCCATTGAAAGTTTCTAAAACATATTAATAGTGCTTTTGATTTTAAAAATATAGAAAATAAAAGCATTACTTAATTAAATGAATGTATCAGGACAACTAGGTATCTGAAAACATTGGATTTCAGTGATAAGTAGAATATAATTTAAATTTATAAAATATTGCCAGAAATTCTCATAATATTATCATGTTTTCTTATTTGATACCATTGTTAGCTTAAACGGTTCGTCGTTAAGTTAACTAAGATTATTTGCTAACAGGGAGTTTAAGTTCGTCTAAACTA